CCCTCACCCACCACTGACAGTTCCTGCTTCCTCAGCTGCCAGAGATATGGGGCCAGGGACCTAGATTCACAGCCCCCTGCTCCTGACAGAAGGTGGTGGCTGCAGCTGTTGAGCAGAACCCAGATACCCCCATGCCATAGGCGATGCATAGAGGGGTCACGGGTGGGCATGTGCCTCCCCGAGACTGGCTGTCAGCAGCATCTGTGGGCAGCCCTGCTCGCTGACAATGACACCGATGCTGGCATCTGCAGGTGGTCACCACTCACCACTATGGTGCCCCCCCAGTCTTGGGAGGCACCAGTCGTTCATGCCCCATGTTGCCAGCTTGGGTAGGGGCTGGGCCTGGCTCCCTGTTGCTGCATGCACTCCCAGAGGGGCAGGAAGGACCTGTGCCCCCCCAGATCTGTGTGCTGGTGGAGGCGGGCGCAGGCTGCCCTCTGCAGGCTAGGGGTCCCACCCTGCTGCCTTCCCCTGGAGTCTCTGCAGCCTAGCAGGTGTAACTCGGCACTGCAGGGCAGAGTACGACTGTGAGAATTTTGTTTGCTACTGTAAGCTCCTCACTGCCCAGGCAGTGTGTCCTCTGCCTGCACTGCTGCAGTAAGGGGCACAGCCACATGCATAGGGGTGTTTCACCAGGGCAGCACAGAGCTTGCAGTAACAAGCGGCTTTCTTGCACGGCCTTCTTCTGCTCTGCCATGCTGCGCTGGGTCCCACCTGCTGGGCTTCAACGGCACCAGGGCAGGATAGCAGGGTGGGAGCCCACACCTGTAGCAGGCAGCCTGCCTACACCCCATGTACACATGTGGGGATCAGATGCCCCTCCAAGAGTGTGTGCACCAGCAGGGAGCTGGCCCCATGCCCCATGCCCCTGCCCCCTGAATGAGCCACTCCCAGCCTTCTCCTGCTCCCTACTGCGGCCTGGCAGTTGTGCATTACGGCACTGGGCCCAAGCCCCATGCACTGCCTGGCTGTGTAGCAGTTCCAGCCATGTCCATCTCCTTCCCTATGGGGGCCTCAATCTCCAGAAAGGGGGAAAATCTGCATTTTACTCTTTTTCTGTGGGAAACAGAAAGCCCGGATCATGAACCCAGGTAGTCCTTGTGGTTTCATGCACAGTGGACCTTGTATTAGTATTGTTGGATAATATTACCACTATTGGTGGGGGCAAATCAAGCGTCCTCTGATTTCCTGGCCCTGGCAACCAAAGTTATCCCAAAGACCATGTGTGCTTTGTCAGCCACTGAATAAAAGATTATTATGCACATGTGCTAGCTTCTTATAACTTTAACGTTCTTGGCTTTTTTTCATTTTCAGAGATACAAGCTTGGTGTACGGCTATATTATAGAGTAATGGAATCCATGCTAAAATCAGTAAGTTTATTGTAGGTACCATACTCTTTATGCTTTGAAGTTCAGAAAGGCAATTTAAGTAAATCACAACCTTGTTTTGGTTTGTGTATTTCAGGAAGAAGAACGTCTGTCAGTGCACAATTTTAGGTATATATTCCTAACTGACAATAGAAGATCATTCTGTTTGTGCTAAGATGAGTGTTAAGACCTTCATTCTTTTTCAGCAAACTTTTGAACAATAACGACTTCCACACATCTCTTCTGGCTTGCGCTGTTGAAGTTGTCATGGCTACATATGGCAGTAAGTTGAATCTGTAGAAGTACTGGATGGTGTTATTGTTGCTTATTACTACTTTTATCTACACTGAATTTATTAAATTACCAGCTGAATATGCATATTCGGTTTAAAGTGTCCTAACTGAAAAAGTAAGACAATGAGAAGGGGGAAATCGATCCTATTACTTTGATACTAAATAGTTTTGGCTTTTTATTTACCTCAGGGAATGCTTCACAAAGCGATGGTACCAGTGCTGAAACAGATCTCTCTTTCCCATGGATACTCAATGTATTTGATTTAAAAGCCTTCGACTTCTATAAGGTGATTGAAAGCTTTATTAAAGCAGAACCAAGCTTGACAAGAGAGATGATAAAACATCTAGAACGCTGCGAACATCGAATTATGGAATCTCTTGCATGGCAATTGGTAAGTAATGCTTTAAAATAAAACTGTGCTTGTCCATACATATGGAAGGAGGTAGTGGGGGTGAAAGGAGGGAGAGGGGATAAAAAGAAATTACTTCCAGTATTATAGTGTATTAAGTTGTATTTGCTTGTATTAATAAAATAAATTTTAATACAAAAAATAATTTCTTTGTTCATATCCTTAAAGGCAAAATAGAATTTATACTTATTAATATAAATCAGTAGGACCACTGACAAATGTAATTTGATCTTTAGACAATATTTTGTTCCTTGTAAACCAGGAAATAAATATTACACATTTTATTTTGAACTTTATTTCAAATTTTCTCACCACTGTTTGCTCATGTTGAAGATGAGTGTTTCAGTCAATACCTGTGACACTGATAGAGCTGCCTAATATCAGGTTGCCTTGGCTCTGCATTTATATGAGTTTTTGCTTTCTTGGTAGCTCTTTATCTTGAACAAACTGTCCAGTGGTAGTTTGCCTGTGATATTTGGCAGAGGTTTCAGGCCTGATAAGTAGGGAAAGCCTAACACGTTGTGGGATACGGGCTTATGTAGGACTGACATGCAAGAAAGTCTAAACAACTTTGTGCATCTTATTGCAAATGAATGGCAAATTTGTAGCTTGATCTGCTGCTTCATGTAGGCTGACTCCTAAGTAGGAATGTATACAACTATCTCCACATCCTGCTGGAAACAAGTTAATTAGCTCGGTCACTGAGCAGAGGTAATTTGCCAGCCCAGGACTCTACCTGGATCCAGCTACACTGCTGCTGGTGTGGGAGGCTGCCAGAATAGAACAGTACTGTGTGTTTTGAGAGAGCTGTTGCTTGGCATAGTTTGCTGTGAAAACCGAGCATGTGAGTTGAGATATAAGACCTTAATTACTTTAAGTCCAACTTCAGGTTCCTATGAGAGAAGTAATGTATAACGCATCTAAAATTGATTTAAGTTAGCTTTTTTAGACATAAAGATGTCATAAATATAAAGCGTTTCTTGTGTCCTGCCAAGGCTAGGAAGTGAATGTTGGGTCCTGTGGAAAACAGGAAGATTCATCTTGTTGCCCTGTAGACTACACCATGAGAAGGGGGGCAGATTTTGAAGCTGTGGCATTTGTAGGCATAGAACATCTTATACCTGAGCCACTGAAAATATTACCTGTTGTCTGTGAGCAAATGTGATTTATTGATTCATAGATTCATAGATTTAGGGTCATAAGGGACCTAGTAGATCTTCTAGCCCGACTTCCCGCCAGGGCGGGAGGACGACAAAACCCCAAAACAAAAACGGGACTCAAATGAGTCCAGCCAGGTAGGCATCCAGCCCCTTCTTAAAGACCCCCAGGGTAGGGGCCAGCACCACTTCCCTTGGAAGTTGGTTCCAGCTCCTAGCCGCCCTAACTGTGAAGTAGTTTTTGCGGATGTCCAATCTATACCTCCTCTCCATCAACTTGTGCCCATTACTCCTTGTTATGCCAGCGGGCGCTAGGGGAAACAGCGTCTCCCCCAAACCCTTCTGGTCCCCCCTAGTGAGTTTATAGACGGTCACCAGGTCCCCCCTCAGCCTTCTCTTGTGGAGGCTGAATAGGTTCAGGTCCCGCAGTCTCTCACTGTAGGGTCTGCCCTGTTGTCCCCGGATCATGCGGGTGGCCCTCCTCTGGACCCTCTCCATGTTGTCCACATCCCTCTTGAAATGGGGCACACAGAACTGGACACAATACTCCAGCTGTGGCCTGACCAGCGTCGCGTAGAGGGGGAGGATCACCTCCTTGGCTCTACTCGAGATGCACCTGTGGATGCACGATAAGGTCCGGTTAGCCCTGCCAACCATGACCTCGCATTGTCGGCCCATGTTCATCTTGGAGTCAATAATGACTCCAAGATCTCTTTCTGCCTCCGTGCTCTCAAGTAGGGAGTTCCCCATTGTGTAAGTGTGCTGCTGGTTCCTACTGCCCAAGTGCAGCACCCTGCACTTGTCCGTATTGAAACGCATCCTGTTCCTGTTAGCCCACCCCTGTAACCTATCCAGATCCTTCTGCAATCTCTCACTCCCTGCTAGCGTGCTCACCTCCCCCCAAATTTTGGTGTCATCAGCAAATTTAAACAGGTTACTTTCCACCCCTTTCCATTGGAGAAAGGGGAAATGATTTCTGTGGCAAATCATAAAAAAGTGGTTATTTGATAGTTATTCAGGTGTTCTGGGGAGACTGAATAGTGGGCAGAGAATAGGGAATGAGATGAAATGAGTGGTAATTTATTGCACTCCTAGTAAGGTCATTATCTGAATATTGTTTCCACACAGTTGCGTGAAAGATGCGTGTAATCTATGTACTTTGCTAGAAGCTGTTTCCAAAAAGCATAGATTTGTTGAACCATGTATACACATTTCGAAGTACTCTTCAGGAGCAAGACAAAGCCATGTGACTTGTGGTTCGTCATCAGGAACACCATTTGTTTAAATGTTTGTTTAACACTGCTGGAAGCCCGATCTGGATTCTGAATAGTCTATAAAAGAAACTGGTCACCTTTCCTGTACTTGTCTAGAAGCTTATAGGAAATGAGTAAAGGTTCAAAGTAAAATAGATAGCATTGACTAGTCACCATAATTAGATGCAGTAGTAAATTTTTAACTTTTATGTCAGGCAGCAACATACAAATCATTATGTTTATTTAACTACCATAAATGTTCATGGGAGATTCACAAGCATTACGCAGTAGAGGCGTCTAAGGCCCCAGGTGCATGTTAAGATGTGATTAACCAGTTCATCATGTCTTAGGTAGTAACTCAGCTACATATTTAAGCAATTAATGGCATGATAAAACAGGGAATGAGCCACAAAATTATTTCACAAAAAAGTAATAATTTTGTCTGGTTCCCATCGCGCCTTAAATTGAATGTGTGGCTGGTATGCTGATCGGCTTGGGAGCACCAGGCTTTTGAAGGCACATGTAGCGTGTCAGGAAATGTGATTGTTGGGATTAAACAAGGAAAGAAATCCTTTCCTTTAATCCAAAGAAGACAGAATCTTGGGAAGACTTACATTTCTTTACATAGGTAAAATTAGAAATATTTTAGCGGTACAGTGTACTCTGCCACTCTGCAAGAGAAATCTGAATGAAAGTACAATAATGCAGAATAAACCAGGTGATTAATAACAGTGAAAGTTTATTTAAAAATAATAGAAAAAAGCTGTTGTAGTTTCCTTTTGCATATATCTGCAGTTGAGTCATTTTCAGTGTAATTCTGTTTTAGGTCTTCCTTCCTCTGTTGCTTGATACGTAGTATATAAAGAAGCAGCCATTATGTTTCTCTTTTTCTTCAGCTGTTTCAGATAAGTTGTTCTCCTTTATCCTGTCCTCCTTCAGTTGTTTTGGTTTTTTCCACTGTTTGCCAGTGGTGTAATGGGGAGGAGGGAGTGGAAAAGAGCTGATGCCAGCAGCTATGCAATCGCAGCAAAAAACAGAAGTTACCACTGCCCGTGTGCCCCAGGCACCCAGCCACATCCCTTTGCTGCTCCTGCCTGCTTTGGAAAATTAATAGAACATAAGATACTAGATAGAATATTGCTTAAAACGTTTTAGGGACAAACTGTATAAAGAATGAACTTTGTGGAAGCTTGCTATCAGGGTTGTACAATTAAGGGCATCTCATATTATTTCTCTAAGGAAAAAAATGAAGAGCCTATTTGATCTTGATGTGTGTGGTTGTTTTTTCATCCAGAGTAAAATGAATGTTTAGGTCTCTGTTTCCTTGTGGTTTTGGTGCGACCATGTTGATTTGTTTCCCAGTTACTTGACTGGCCTTAGTTTTACTGCTTTTGCATGGTTATCAGATTTAGTCATCTAGACTTGGCAAGGAGAGCAGGCTTTTGTTATTTTCAGTTTCAGTATGAGATGTAGCCTGACAGAAGCATGGGACGAACAGTTTCCAAGGCTGCTTTCAGTGGTTAGCAATTTTGAAAATGTGTTATCCTTTAACGTACGTATGTGCTTTAGTATATTTTTCCTTCTGTAGCACTTTCATCCATGTTTTCATCCACTTTAAGCAGCACCTATCATTGAGGGCATAATCCTTCTAGATTCAGAGAGGTGGAATTGATTTTGGAGCCCACTCATAGTGCTGTTTAATTATTTGGTAAGAAAAAGAAGCATAAGAAGTGCCATACTGAGTCAGACCAGTGGTCCATCTAGTCCTGTATCCCATCTCCAACAGTGGCAGAAGTGGATCCTTTAGAGCAGGGGTGGGCAAAATGGTGGAACTGGCCAGTGGCAAGACTCCATTTCCCAGCAGGCACTGCTCTTGTGCCTGGGGCTGGTTTCCATGGAGACCCTTGCAGGTGCCACGCTGTGATAATGTGGGACCATGGTTTCCTTGGAGACCAGCCCCAGCAGCACTGGCAGGGCATGCAGCAGGGCATGGAGCTGCTTCGGAGCTGGGTTGGGATCTTGCGGTGGTGACAGTATGGCACAGAGCCGTGATCTGCAGCTTGCAGGGACGAACAGGCAGTGGATCGTGGCTCTGTCCTGGCTTCTTGCAATGGGGACAGCATGGTCTGGAACTGGGGCAAAGCTGTCACCTGCTGCCTCCACACCCTTGCCTGGAGCATGCAGGCTGCAGTTCGCGGCTCTGCCCTGGCTCTGGACCACGCTGTCACTGCCTCAAGATTCCAGCTCAGCTCTGGAGCAGCACCCTGCTCTGCCATGCACCCTGCCAGCAGGGGCGGCACTAGTGGGAATGGGGTGGTGGTGGGAGGGGCGTCTATAGCCACTCCAAAATTTCCTGTAGCCCCCCTGTAGCCACCCATCCTAGTGGCACCACCACCCTGCACAGGTGGTGGCAGCTAAGCCCGCCCTGCTCTGTCCTGCAGTACAACTCCCTGCTCAATCCCCCCACCAGGAAGAGGCTATTGCCAGTCTCTACGGAACTTAGTTCTGCACAATCACAGTGCAGCTGCTGCTGGGAAAATTATATGCTCCATGGAAAACAGGCCCAGCCGCA